GAGAGAAGCCCTCTCAAAAAAAAAAAAAAAAACTTCCCACAAAGAAAATTTTCAGTGTAGATAGTTGCATAGATGGATTTACAAAACATTTGAGAAAGTAATACTAACATTATAAAAATTCTTTGAGAAAAAATAGAGGAAGAGAGACTATTTCTCATTCTATTTTTATGAATCCAAATAACTCTAATACCAAATACAGCTAAATATAAAGAGGATAATACATTATAGCCAGGAATATCTCAGGAATTCAAAGTGCATTTAACATTTGTAAATCTAACAAGTAATTTACCATATTAACAGTATAAAGGTGGAAAAATCTTATGATCATCTCCACAGATGAAGAACAAGAGTATCTGGCAATATTCAACACCAATTCATGATAACAACTCACAATGAAATAGAAGGGAACTTCCTCAATCTGATAAGGCAATTGATGAAAAATCTACAGCTAATATTATACTTGATAAAACTTTTTTAAAAAGTCATTTCATGAAAACATTTGGCGAAGTCTAGAGGACTATAAAATATAGATGGAAAAACTTTAACCAAAATTGTAAACCCAAAAGTAATAAAAGACATATTTCAATATATAAAAACTTACAAATATGAATGGAAAATTATTATAAAGACAACCGACAAGTATTAGAACAGGGAAATACTGATTCTATAATCTACAAAGTGCTTTTACAAACAAACAAGAAAAAAGATAAACACCACATAGGTATTGATGATTCACAAGAAAGTAAATCTAAATTTCAATAAATTTATGAAAGGATGCTCTAATTCACTAGTCAGAAAATACAAATGAAAATAACAATGAAAAACACTTTAGAGCCAATAGTCAGTCAAAAATTCAACAGAACTTATACCTGCAAACATTTTGGTAATCTCATACATTGTAGGTGGAGAGTAGAGTCTTTTTAGAAACCATTTTGGGAGTAACTATTAAATGTAAAAATACATACACACTTTGATTCAGCAATCCCACATTTGAGATCTGTCCCACAAAAATAAGACATATGCCCTCTGATCCAGCAATGGTATTCTTGAGAATCATTTCCACTAAACAGGGACATCCGTAACAAAATAGTACTGTAACAACGTTTATGATAGGAAAACAATAGAAACAAATACCAATGATATGGAAATGATTGAATAAATAAGGGCATAACCTTTGTATATGTTTCCAAACCTATATAATATAGTATATCCTATGTTCTACTATGTAGTCATCACAAAGACTGACTTAGGGCTTTACTGGATGACCTGAAGGAGTATTTCCATCAAATACTGTAAAGGGAGAAAATAGAACAAAAGCAAGCAAAAATAAACCCAAACAATTATAAAAGTTTCACTGGTATATATGTTTGTTTTTCTGCTTGCTGCATCATAAAAGATAAATACGCTAGATACCATAGAAGATAAATATGCTAGATTTTTAACACGGGGTAGATTTCAGCAGCAAGAATGGAAGGAGACGTATGTGTGAGACACATGTAGGACAGCCCCTCCCCCCCCAAAAATAACGGATAGCCTTTAAAAAATAGGTATAATTATATTTATGATATATAAACTCAAGTAAAATATGTATTTGTATGAATATACAGAAAAAAACTAAATGAAAACTAAACTTACGTTCAAGACATGATCCTTGAAAACTTTTCTTTTATCTCAACCTGTTTGAAATTTTGGAATTTAAGCTGACTTTAGTTTTCTTATTCTATACAGAAAAAAATATACCCAGCAGACACACTGTACCCACACGCACGCATACTTCACACTGCGCACAGAGACGACACATGCGGCACTTAACACACACCCAGCGCTCACTCCACACACTGCGCATGCACGCACGGCCACACAGCAAATCTGCACGGGCACTGCACCCACACCCCCTGCGTACTCACCACCACACACGCACACATCACTCTGCATATTCACACAAGCACGCCATCCGTACTCGCACACGGCACTAAACTCACAGTGGTATGGAGCTCACTCGGAGAGCTTCCCTAGTGCAGAGAAATGCTGGCTTGTGTTTAAAGTAGGAAACAATCAACAATTTTAAAGCTTTGAGTTTTAGAAGTGTCTTCAGAGACTTTCTTTTTTAAAAAAAAAAATCTTTATTAAATAGTTTAAGTAAAAAAAAAACAACCCAGCAGTCTTTCTTCCTTTCAGAATTAAATGTTAAATTAATTAAACTTAATTTCTTATAACCCAAGAAAGTTTTATGTCTCTGACAATGGTACTAAAGGGAAGATCAGAAAAGCTGTCATGAAACGAAGGGAAGAGAAACAGGTATGCACACAACATTATTCTGTCACATCCTTTTGCAGAGGTTGCTTTGGAACTCCAGCCAGCTTTTTCCTCACAAGGAAGTGATCTGCATCACACATGTGCATGAAATCAGAGAAGAGTAAGGTAGACTTACTACTCAGTATTAAATGCTGATTTCTCAATGTAAATATAAACTATAAAATTCTCTATTAGAAATGACTAAAATAGGTTAGTTTTTTTCAAAGAAAGTTGTCACAGAATCATGGCTCCAGAAAAATAAATGCTAAATTTTATTCTAAAGAGCCTAGGGGAAAGGAGTAAAATTTTCACATAATTTCTAAACAACAACATTAAGATGAATAATAGGCTTCATTTGGAGAGAAAATGAGCAGCAAAACTTTCAGTCAGCATAACCTACTTAAATGCAAGTTAAAATGTGTTGACATTATTTAAATTTTAATTGTGTATATTTGCATGATTTATACTTATCCCCAGAAACATTTCATCCTTTTCTCAGGGAAACCACAGTGTTTTCTATTATAATGAAACATATTGAAAAGAATGTTTTAAGAATTCACTTTGAACTTCAATAGCATAAATAATATGGACCCTATAGTCAGTATCATGAATTATGCCTTCCCTAATTGTAAGACCTTCAGAAATTAGGAAGCACTGATTTTATAACTATGTTGACTTAGAAGATCAACGGGTGGTGTACAAAAAACAAGAGAGGGAAAGCACTATGAATCTATTACAGCACTAAGTGGAAATGAATAAGCAAACAGAAGAAACAAATAATTTATTACTATACAGGTGAGGAAAAGAGATCCAGACTTAGAGAAACAAGCAGTAGAAACTGAAATGCACTTCAGGCAGGTAAATGGTTTCAAAGTAAACATATTTTTTAAAAGTCAGAGAATGTTTTAAGGAAGTGATGTTTCTGCATATATGCACAGAAAAACAATTTAAGTCTTAAAAAGTATGGTGGAGACAATGTTAGAAATTTTTAAGACTAAAAAGGTCAAAAAATCAGTTAATCTAATTCTTTCTAAACAGGAACAACCACACAAAAACAGATTTTACCTTTTCAGATTCACCATTGCCCAGGGAATTCCAGTAGGTGTGTTAAAGGCAGGAAGGAGTTTCTCAGCCAGTTGGACTGCTTTAATCTTGAATATCTGAGATAAAAACGTAAATATTCATAAGTCCTAGCCATCAGAACTTAGAATTTGCTCTTCTTTCATAGGACGCATACCACAATATATTGGATATATGGAAGAACAACAAGGTGGGGAAGGGGTGCAGAAATGGTGTCTCTTCAGTACCATGGAGTGAGCATATATCAATCAGAGAAAATGTTTGTAAACTAGATACTGAGAAATGCTACCCAAAGTGGTACAGCCTAGGAATTGACAAGTATCCATAAATATGCAATATTTGGAAGGAAGAAGTAAATAATCTGAGGCAGTGTACTTGCAAGCACAGTGGTAAAGGTGTCTGATTCTTCTGTGGTAGCTTGAATAAAAATTTTAGTGATTGGTCCTTATCTTCATAGATACTATGTGGGCAATAAAGGTAATGGAGTTCATGCTTAATCACCTACATGGCACACTTGGGCACTTCTTTTAGTTCCAAGCTGTATAACAAAAATATCTGATTTCATGCCCCTCCCAAAGACTCTTAGCTAGTCAGTACCCTCTAACGAATCACTAGGTAAAAACAGATTCTGTTTTCTGCAACTAGGACTGTTGACTGATAAGATGATGAAAGTAAATCAATTATTCACATGTTTAACAGAGGTCCAAGAATATTTAAATGAAGACTTCTAAAACATATCATTTATTTACAGAGAAAACACTATGTATTCAATACCTATTATGTAAAATCTCCCAGTTAATTTTAAGAGACTAAATTATAGGTAATGGAATGATGCTAAAACTGGTCCTAGGTTTAGTGGAATTAGGATTGAAAAATTTATTTGCAGGCCTGGAAGAACTGAAACAAACAGAATTAAACAGATACACTGTGACAAGATTACAAAAAGCTTTTAAAACATAAGCAATGAAACTCAGAGTGACAGAATAGATAGCATGGAACCACTGTAGGTTCCTGAGGAGGGACGTGATACTAGAATCCATTGTGTGTTTTTGCTTATTTTACTAGACTATTTAAATAACCAAGGTAAAATTTCTGCAGCCTGTTTTCCACCTAAGAGTCAGATTAAGAATGTTAAATAGAAAGTCAAGAATTCAGAACAATCAAATGACTCTGCCTCATTCACAGTAAAAGCCATGGTCCTTTAAAAAGTTATAAATCTTATAAGCACTGGATCTCTATTACTTCTATGGCCTCACTCCTTTTCTTCCCTCCTCTAGCAAACTACGTCAGCCCCACTAGCCTATTTGGTTGTTCTCTGAGAATGCTAGTTAGGCTTGTGCTTCACTGTCTTTTGCATTTGCTCTTCCTTTCACCTAAATGCTTTTATAAAAAGATATCCTCATGGCTACATCTTATCTTCTTCAGGTCTTTACACCAATGCTATCTCTGCTCATAGTCCCTGACCATTCTATTTGAAATTTAAAAATCGTTATCCCCTTCCATGCTTCATTTTTCTCCTTAGTGCTATCAGTAACAGTCTATGTATATTTGGGTAGATACACACATTTTTCTCACATATCTACCTTGTTTATTGCCTATTATCTCCACAGAAGAATATAAGCCACAGATGGGCAGAATTTTGTTTTATTCACTGTTGTACACTCTCAGCACTTAAAAAAGAGTGCCTAGCATATAATGGGTATCAGCAAGTGTTGAATGAATTTAAGAAGCCAAAGGATAGAGAGATTTATAAGAAGTAAATTATCTTCTTTCTCTTCCATACCAACCCCATCTCCCTGAGATATCTGATGTTAACACACAAGGGTTTAAGGACTTTTTAAAATATTCTACAAAAATATTGGGATGATGAAAATGATAAAATGACAAACACAGACATGAACCCAAGTAATCCTCACAGTAACCCAGTGAGATATGTATTACTGTTACTCCCATTATACAGAGTAGAAACTGAGGTATAAAACAGTTAACTTGCCCATGGTCATACAGCAAGTAAGTGATAAGCCTGAATTTAAACCCAGGACTACCCATCTTTAGAGTCCATGTTCTTCCTTGATTATTTTACTATATTAAATGCAGATATACCAATATCTAGGTATAGACATAGATACTTACATATTCCTATACTTTGCATTATTTCATCTTAATTGTTACAGTCAATAATTAAATTCCTCAAAATGTTTTACTAATTTATTGAATATCTCTTTATCCTGTATCTTACATCCTCCCTCTTCAATGATAGTTTGGTTAATATAAAATTCTGGGTTGGCAGTTACTTTAAGTCAGCAGTTTAAAGACATTACTCCAGCAGCACCTAATGCTGCTGAGAACTCTGTTGTCAGCTGTCACTCTTTAGTTAAGTAATCAGCCCTTTCTCTTTGGTAGCTTTTAATATTTTCTTAATATTCTTGATATTTTTTCAAATATTAACTCTATCATTTATTATATTAAACTCATCTACAACTCCTACTAAACATCCTTTGAAACCTCTCAGTCAATTTTATATCTCTCAACTTTTTTTTCTTAATTTCTCTCTTTGACTCTCTATACTGCATACTGGATAAATATCATCACCATGAACAGGAACATCCTTAAAGGCTAGACAGGAACTTTGGACCAAGTGGAGGTTACTAAAGATCTACAGATTAACACAGACATAGAAGCATATTCATATACACCTCCCAATCAAAAGGAGCCTACAAACACTACTTAAAAACTCATAATGGAGTCTAAGATTTTATTCCCTTTGCAAGCTAACAAGTTAGCCTGCCATAATTTCATGAATATTGGCAGAAGACACAATAAGACAAAATACTAGGTCAGAGAAAAAGGACTGTATCATTTATGACAAAGTAGCAGCCAGAGCTTCAAGTTCACTTACATTAGTTGTACATGCCCCACCCTCCCATCTACCTAAATCCCACAGGGATGATCCAAAGAGTCCACTATGGATTCCTGCACGCACAGGAGATTGTGTTATAGTAGAAGAACTCTGAGCTTGAAGAAGCTCTTTTACAGTAAGTGAAAACAAGCCAATTAGATAACATCAATTCATCCCTGGAAGTATAACCCTGATGACCTGGGTAAAGAGCAGTCAGGGCCTTGTATTCTTGGTATCCTCAACAAAGGGATGCAAGGACACTCAGGCGTTATGGTGAGTTGCTTTCTTAACCCTTTACATCGGCAGCAATAGCAGTGCCTTCCTGTAGCAGCAACTAAATCCACTTAACAATTTTCCCAACACATACAGAACCAGTTTTATCAATCTCACCCCTCACACCTCCAAAGAGGGGAGCACCAGCTTGCCAGCACACTTTCATCAGAGGTATGAGTTCTGCATTGCCCTTCCTCTTAAAGTTTCTAAGATTTATTCTTTCAGCCCTGGGTGCTTCCTGAAAGAGCCACCTGCAAGACACCTTATTCTTTTTAATCTAGCACTTACCCAGTTAACTCTATGTCTAGTTAATAATTCTTCGTATTAAATACACTGTTCAAACAATTGGCATGGTTTTTGTCTCTTGACTGGAAGCTGACTGATAAAATAATCCATATTTTGTTGTTATCTATTAAATTTTTGCTTATCTTAAAAACCAGGAAAATGAAAAAAGGGAGATATTTAAAAATAGTACACAGGTCTTGTATTCTAATCCAAATACTATTAATATTTTAATATATTTCCATCCTTTCTTTCTGAACATATGTAAGATTTTTAAGTAGTTGTGTTTTTATTGTCTTTTCTTCATACTAACATAATAACACAAGTACATTTCCAATTTTAACAAAATTGTCTAATTTGCTGTATCCATTTCCCCTCTTCCTACTCACTCCTCAACATATTCCAACATGGCTTCTACCCCCACCATTTCACTGAAATGGATCTTGCTACGAATTAGCCACACATTTGAGCAACAAGCATTTTCAGTCATTAATGACCAGTTCCCTCCTTTAAATACTTCCTCCCTTTTGTTTGGCTACTATAAATACTCTGACAATCTCACTCTCTCCTTCACTGACTCATCCTCCTCAGATCTGACCGTTACTGTTGTTTCTCAAGGCTTGATTCTAGGTCCCCTTCTCATATCTTAAATTGTCTCCCTAAGCAATTTCACATGTGCTTGTTTTCAATCATCAGCTATACAACAACCAACTCTGAAATCTGTATCTGGAGTCAAGACTTTTCCAGTAAATATCAGATCCATTGCATCTGTCTACTACCTATTTCCACTTAAATACAGCAAAATTCCCTCAAACTCAACTTAAAATGAACTGATGATCTTTGCAGTATTCTGAAAGTGTTCAATATCTAGTAACTGTCACTAGTCTCGTACCAAAACCCAGAAACCTGGAGACAGGATCTCTCATCCTTCTGCCTCATTTTCCCCTCCAAAATATCATCCAATTCTTTTGACTTTACCTCCCAAATACTTTAAATTATTTGTATCTCCCATCTCCACAACCCATCTTAGTCCAAGCTGCCATTATTTATTGCCAAAAATACTTCAATGATTTGACTGACTGACTCAATGAAGGAAACATACACAACCTTACATATTGGTCTATAATTTGCTTATACTACTGAATATATCAAGCATATTTTTCCCAGTTAAAATATATCAAACTTCTGTTCTACAATAAGAGATAGATTAATTTATTCAACAATTTCACTCTAAATGAATATTCAGGTCTTTTCAAACATTGGCTAATACATGATTTACAAACATTGGCTACTATAAATACTGCTGCAATGAAATACTCTTCTAAGTATACTAGATATCCACAATGTTACTTTTAGATAATATATTCCTAAAAGTAGGTTATTGGGTCAAAAACAATATTATATTTTAGATGTTTACTTGACACCACAAAACTATTTTCCAAAAAGGTATATCATTTGTGTTCCCACCAACAGTTTACCATACATTTGCTAAAATTCAAACTATACATTTAATTACAAACTGTACATTTAATATGGGTGCATTTTATTGTATGTAAATTAACTACAATATAGCTGCTTAAAAAAAATAATTTTTGAGCTGGGCCTTGAAGTTCTTACCAGGCAGAG